AAAGGTACACTAAAACTCAGTACATTTACCTCAGATATTTGTTGATACTCATTTTGCTTATCTATGTATATTGCATAAACATTAAGAAATCTACATGTATTTTTTTTAGTTCAATAAAAAAATTACAATTTATTTTCCTTAGCATTTTCTGAGGTAAAACCAAAACTAAGAAGATTGCTTTTTTTAGCATATTTCGCTAACATTCTCTGAGATCCAAACATACCCATATGGTCTTTATAATTGTCCGGTTTGGTTTGCATTGCAGGTCCATCTTTTCCTTCAGTTGCATTACTTGAAGCAGAGCTTTCACTCTCCAGTAAGAGTTTGCCAGCAACAGCAGCCAACAATTCAAATGCACAGATTTGATTATCTTCCTCACTTGGGGTATACCTCCTCTGAATCACAATAAAATTTCCCATTAATATTTAGGAAATTGTATAAGCACATGAAAATTTAAGGGAAACTCGGAAGGAAAGAAAACCAGCTCAAACTCAATAAATAATTTTTTATATATATGTTCACTAATTTTGGTTGTATAATTGCACGGAGTATTATATAAATAAGGAATGAAAATTTTAAATGTAAAAAGGTTTAAAAAGTATAAGTGATATCTGATATTACTTTTACTACCTACCATTTTATGAACTCCAAATATAAACTAAGGGTTTGACTGAAAACAGATAATGCTACAAAAAAAAACAGAGGGAAAATAAATGGGAAATTATGAAGAAATTTTAGGCAGGAAGAGGGCCGCGGTTCATAATCAATACATCAATTTTTTATAATTCTTCAAACTCATTTTAATTATATTTTTCTACGGTTTATAGATTATGAAATACAAACTATTTAGCATTTTAAAGTGTTTTAATCAAATTTGATTTTCCTTTATATTTTCACAAAAATAAGCATCTAAAAGATGCAGAGGTTATATAGCTTACCCAAAAAATATTGTAATCTCATAGAGGTATAGATTTATTAATAGATACTGTAATAAATTAATAATCGTACTTACTCTAGATGATCTAGGTGCTCGAGGTACAACAGGAAACCGGAACCCATTCGATCCATACTCCAATCTCTTCTTCATCACCATTACAGAAACACCATAACACTATCAAGATGATCACTACGGTAAATCTGCAAAAAAAATCCAATACACTGGATTAATTGAAGACCGTTGCAAAAATGATCTATGCCAAGCTCCACTTGGATCCCTCTTCTTTTTACAGCATTGGTTAAAATAGATCCCAACGATAAGAGAATTTCAGATATGGAAATAAACATGAAATATTTGGTCAAAGGTGGAAGCAAAGAATAACAAAAAAAAAACATTAAATGCTTTTCTACATTAAAATTTATTTACAACACAACCATAAGGTAACCGAATATTCTTGACGAAATTCCAAAAGCATCACCTCGAACAAAAGTGAGCAGGCAAGAGAACATAATAGAATCATAGACAGCAAAGAAAACACTCTTCTTCCTAAATCATGCAAATAGAAGCTAAGATCTTAGCAAACCCGAACATAAACCTCAAATTTAAACAAAAGGGATCAGATCGGACTGCCAGAAGCCAAGAACGGAAAATCAAAGACTGCTGTTTCCAAAGAAGATCGAATTTTGCTCCAAAAACACCCCCCAAAACCAAACTGGATCAGAGTTTAGCATTCAAGAAAAGGACCCAGAGTGTAATTTTCTTTAAACGGAATCTGATCCGAAATTCTAACCCGATTATTCCACGGATACAAGCGTAGAACTTACGGAACGGACCTTTACACGCAACCTAAACCAAGAACAAAAACCCCAATTTAGCAACTCCGATCAGATCTCAGGATCTGATCCACCCGAATTCTACCTAAAACCCACCTTCCAAAACGCAGATCGCGTCCATAAAAACAGAATTACCTTGTGAGAAGAAATTTGTTAGTTTTTCCTGCACAGGCTGTTGGAATGAACAATTAGAGCACAACCCAAACAAGAAATGCTTCAATATTTCAAAAAGAAATTCTTTTCGGGCTTGAAATGAAAATGGTTTATAAGTTTCCCACGTCAAATGAACTAAAAACCTCTGGGTTTGGAAAAACCAGCCAAAGGTGAAAAAACAGCGCTAAAACCCCTTTCTCTCTCTAAAATCTCTCTCTTCTCTTCCCACTCACACGCGGACGATCATGGTGGGATTGATGACGGACGGATTTATACAAAGACTCCGTGGACCGCAGTTGCTTCTTGATTTGTTTTTCGCAGTTTGGGATAATTTCAGTTGGACCCCAAAAGTTCCCATAGATGTCGACTACGTAAACTGATTTTCAAGAGTTGTTCTTTCTAGTTGGGATGGTAATTTCAGTTGGACCCCACATTTTGCAATAATTACCTTCGGTTCCGAATCATGAGAAGAGTTGTTTGTGTTTAACAAAGCCGGTTCCGAGGGGCAACGGGGTCGACAGTCCTAGACCCGAAAAAATAGAAGAAAAGATAGGTCCAAAATTTTTTCTTTATACACAGGGTGAGTAGGATTCTTTTTTTATTCTTAAGTTCAATTAATTAGGAGGCCTAATGATTAATTTTGTTGACAATTTGAAAATTTAAAACATAAATAAAAAGTCATAAACTGAGCCAAGTTTTAAAAAAAATAGATACATTAATTTTTAGCAGAATCGATTGTAGTTTTTAAAAGCAATACAATTGTTGGTGCATAAATAAAAGACACATTTCTCCAGTTCTCACATCTTTTTAGCTTTTAAGGTTTGTTGAGGTTTAATCTCGTAGATCCGAAAGCCCAACACAGACTTTGGATATATCAGGAAATGGACAATAATTCGGTATGTAAAAGAAATATAAAAGATCGATAATCGAATGCTCAAAAGCCCACTTATATTAATTGACCTGTTTGATTACAAGGAAATTACTCGAACGGTACGTCGGATTGATGCTTAATACAAGAAACAAGAGTAATAAGGCTATTCTAGGGCTTGAGTATTAAAATGCTAACCCTTACAATGATATTAAACCTTCTATTTATACTAATGGAGAGTATGGGACGCTTTATGTTGATTGGCCGATGTTCCACCGACTTGATCACGCATGCCTCCACTTGCTGATGACACAATCTGGCATTAATTGCACCTGGTCACCTGCTGGTTGTCCGTTGCCCGAACGGGATAATGGGCCATGTGTAAAACATTGTAGATTTGGCCCAAGTATGGTGTATGACCCGAACCCTATTCGATATGTCTGTTTTCTGGGCCAGCCTTTACTTGGCCCGAACCTCGGTCGGTATGAATATCTCACTGGGCCTACTTATCATAGGGTAGTGGGCTCGTTGTTTGGGCTGGATATCCTAGGCCTTTAATCCGGGTATTGGGCTTCCGGGCCAATATCCCAACACGAGTCCCCCACTTCCGATGTCTCGAATGACAGTGAGTGCATTAGGAAGTATAAGTGCCATGATATAAATGCCGAATGGTGATCGGGGTACAGAAGTGGTCAATTCCCCATACTGTGATTTGACGGCGGTCGTTTGAGTTTTCCCATATTCGTCATGATTGTTGATCTTTGCTCTTCCATGTGACGCGTGTTATTTCAAATAGTCCCAATGACGTGTCTCTATTTGATTGGTCTTTGATACGGCGTTTGTAAGGCTATAAATTAGCTTTTAGCTCCTCAAATCCGGGTTTCGAATTTTCAATCTCTTCGTGCTTTAGTTCTGCCTTTTCTCTCAATCCCTTCAAGCTTTTCGTGTCCAGGTACTTCTCATCCCTTTAAATCTCTCTTTTCTTTGATCCGATCGTTATGAGTTCTCGACTGTGTTCCGATTCGGAAATGGCTTCTCATGGGGAAGACCATGATGTGGAGATTATCACCGTCCCTTTTGTTGAGGGCTCCAATGCGGTGACGACGGAGATTAGGGCGGAGACGGAGGATTCCTCCGGCAGTTCTTCTTCCTCTAGTGAAGATTCCGATGACACCAAGTCTGATGATGAACTGGCTTCCATGGCGACTGGACGTCCCAACGATTTCCCTCGTCACACGCTTGACCTAAGACTGATTAGGGAGAGGCGGAAAAAACTGACTTCTCACAACAGGGCCGAAATTCCGGCCCTAATCCCAGACCCAGTGAACTTCCGATTGCGAGCTGGGCTTCACCCAATGCGCCATACCCCTGGGATGGTTGTAGTCCACTTCGATTCAGTTAGGGTCAGGCTTAGGTTTCCATTGCATTCCTTCTTTGTTTCATTTTTTAATTTCTACGAAATTGTACCGGCCCAAGTCATGCTGAACTCCTATCGGGCAAAGGCGGGCTTTATTTGCCGTTGTAAAGATGCCGGTGCCCCGCCAACCCTAGACTTATTTCACCAATTTTTTAAAGTGGCCCCCCAACAAACACATGGATATCTGGCTACTAGTACCCGAACGGGACATATCCTATTTAAGGGCAATCCGACTTCAATCAAGGGGTGGAAAGATCGGTTCTTCTTTGTGTCTGTCCCGGACAGCCTGATCCCTCGCAAATGGAATGCCTTCCCTCTCAAATCTCCCGATCCAGTCCTTACTGAGGAAATTTACAAGGATGTGCTCGCTGTGGAGAAGGACAAATGTTGTGATATCATGAGTTACTTGACTCCCGATCGACTTATCGAAGCCGGGATAGGTACTGCCCGTTCTCTTGGGTTTACTTATTTTGAGAATCAAGTGCCATGGTCCGGGCGGTCCTTCCTGCGCGAGAAACGTTCTCTTCTTTTTTTGTTTCCACGTGATAAGGCCGCTCGGTACTAACATTTTCCTTTGTTATTTTTTAGCTCCCAATCCAGACGCACCAATGGACAACAGTCGTGTTTTGGCAGCCGATGGGGTCGGGAAACGGAAGAAAGCCAGGAAGAACCCCCAACCCACTCCTTCCACTATCATCGCTCAAGATGTCGGGTCTTCTCACCCCGTTCAGGAGCCACAGCCGTTTCAACAGGTCCTTCTTCAGGATCAATTTGACGCCATGCTGGTCGACGATCGGTTCGGATCTGATCAGCTGCATCAATTCTCTGAGCATTTCCAGGCTGCTCAGGAGACTGGTCAGGGTACGGGTGATATGCATACCGTCCATCTATCTATCCAGGTCGACCGGATCTCATTGGCAGATCCGGTTCACGAAGTTGTAGAGAAGGGTGGATGCTCGGCAAGTCAGATCTGGTCTACCTCCGCATTTTTCAACAACTTCATTGTTCCCAAGCTGCTGGTCGAGCAGTGTGAGGAATGCTTGGCCTTAGCGGCCCTGAAGGTACTTTACTTTACACTATTGCAATAATTTGTTATATATGTTAATCTTTGCCCTCAAACTTCATTACCTTATTTCTCGAACGACATTCTGTAGGTTGGGCTCTACAGCCTGCAAATGAGGGATGCCCGGCTGGCCAAAGAGCGGGAGCTGATTGTTGCCCAGACTTCTGTTGAACAGAATGCTGCTGCTGCCCTTGCAAAGTTGGAGGCCGAACGGAAATCCTTTGCCGAGGAGAAGCAGAAGTTTGAGAGCGAAGTGGGGGGGCTTCGGGTTCAGCTGGCCACTGCCCAGGCTAAGGTTTATGCAGCTGAAGCCGTCCAGGTCAAGTTTGTAGAGACGGTCCCCCGCATCCCTGACGGTCCGGCGGAAATTGACGTGGATCTGTCGGCCGTTCGAGAGACGTTTAAATCTTATGAGGAGTTTGTTGCCCTAAAACAGGAATATGCACAGCAGGAGCTCCCGTTTACTTTTGGCGCCTTTCTCGACCAATTCCCCAAGAGTGACCCTCGGCGTACAGAAGGGGTAAAGCTGCTCGATCGGGATCCAAGGGGTAAGAAATTCAATGATTCCCTGGCTCGATCGCTCTATGTCATGGGCTGTCAGCATGTCTTGATCCCCTTTGTGGCCAAGCTCCAAGAAACACTGGGAAGGCCGGTCAAGCTTGATGATCTTCCCTTGGTTCCGATCGTTGAAGCTCAATTCGAGAAGTATCAGCGAGACCTACGACGGGCTGCCGATCGAGAAGCAGGGAAAGATCCTGAACCTCCTACTGATTCAGATGATGATGACGATGATGAAAAGGAAGGGGATAAAGAGGCTGCTGATCAATAGATTAGATTTTTAGTAACTTGTAATATTTTTCCCCTTATCCTTTTTTGCATATCACCCCTGTACTTTCCGGCCAGTAGAGCCGATGAATATATATGGGGTCTCTTTTGGTCAAAACTTTGCTTTATCATTTTCCCTGCTTTTATTGATTATCATTCGGGATTCGGTTTGTTTTATAGGACTTAGCAGATTTTCTGGCCTCATTTTTTATCATTCTTCATATCATCGTTCGGGCTTCAGATAATTCCGACAATTTACCAGGACTTGGCCCCTCTCTTGTGTCGATAGCCGCTCGGGCTTCAGACGGTTCTGTAGGACTTAGTCTTTTAGTAAATCTTTTGTTTCTGATGTTCCATCTATTCCACCTAATTGTTAAGAAAAACCCTGTTCGGTTTATCTTGCTGCCCCTATCTTTTGACTCGTCCGAATCCTGAATTTTAATCATCCCGTCGATCTCTATCTGTTGTTCTTCAAATACTACTCGTTCGGTATCTCTAAAGATACTTATTTCAAACTTATGGCTTACGTCGACCTTGGTCTGGGATGCCTCCCATACGTTCATCGTTCAATCTTTTTAGGATGGCTTCCCCAAAACTGTTGATCCGTTTTCATGAATTGCCCATTAACCGTTCGGGGAACGTGCTAAATTACCATAAATGTACCATAATTTCGTACAACCACATTTCACCACGTGTTCTCCATGGGTTAGGGTTTTGGGCGGCATCTTTGCTTATAAATAGAGTTGCATCTTCTTAATTTCTTCTGTTGCTTCCTTAATCTCTTCTTGCGTCTCTCTAAGCTTTCTCTCTCTAGAATTCTCAGGATTCCTTAAGTGGTTTTATGTATTTTTCTTCTAGCTCAGAATCTGAGGAAATGCCGCTTATTCGCATGGGAAAAACTCCTGCTGTAAACAAGGCTGAAGGTTCTTCTTCCCAAGTACCTAATTCCACTAAACCTCCCGTACTCAAAGATGCCGAACAGCCTCTTGACGACGGATGCCTTTCGGGAGATGACGTAAAGATTTATAATAAGGGAATGCCCGAACGGCCACCCCGCATTGCTTTGCATTTCACCCGTATTCGCAAACAAAAGCAACGTCTTCCCGAAGACGCTGAAAGGCAACTTGGCCAACTTCTGCCTCCGCCTAGAGAATTTTATGCCGGATTCATCAGGCACCCTATGAGGCACCGATCGGGGCACGTGCTCGTGCACCTTGATGCATTGATCGCTGGGCTTCACTTCCCTCTACATCCATTCGTTGTGGAGTTCTTGCGTCGGGTCTCCGTACTTCCCGCTCAGTTCGTACCGAGCACCTACCGCATTCTGTCTGGCTTTATAATCCTATGTCAGGAACTGAGGATCGCACCAAGTGTCGATTTATTTTTACACCATTACTGCTATCAACCCTATTGGACTACTGGGTACTTGAAACTGGTAGCCCGATCTGACCGTCAGTTTTTTACAGATAACCCTACTCCGCTGGTTGATTGGGAGGAACGGTTTCTCTTCGTGCGTATAGGCGATTCTCTCCCATTCCTTGACCGGTGGAACGCTTACCCCGTTCGGGACTCTGAGCCCAGAATAGATGTCGTTCTGCACTCTCAAGCCGAGTCTCTACGTATGTGAGGAACTCGGAGTCTTCGGGGTTTTATTACCCCTTCCAATATGCTAACTGTTGGGATTGGTAAGTGTAACAAGATCTTAACCCGATCGTTCTCCTTTCAATTTAGATTCTTATCTCTTATTTCCTCTGTTGTAGGTGTGATATCCCCTATACCCGTTCGGCGTTCCATATCTGTCGCTACTCTGACAGCTTCCTCTGGAAAAGGCAAGGAGAAGATGATTGCCGATCATGCATCTGATGAGCAAACCCGGAAGAAACACAGAGGGAATGATGGCAGCATACTGATCCCGGTCGATCACGTGGTCGATTTGACCGGTCCGGATGACAAGCTGAAAAAACCTATCATCCCTGCCCAGCCCCAAACTCCAGTTTTTAACAATACACCGATCAATGATCGGATGTTTGTGGAGTTTTCCAATTTGGGGCCCCGAGCAGAGGGAATGTACCTGTTCGGGTAGATGCCATCCTCTATGTGGTGTAGTACCTCCATGAAGGTTCCACCCAGTTTTTCTACTCTGACCCATTGGTCTGATCTGGTTGAGGCAGGTCACTTGGAGACTCTCAAGGTGCGGATCGGTCATCGACCCCTTTAAAATCTTGATTTTCTTCTCATTTAGTATATGTTATCTGATTTAATTTTTTTCTATTTTTAGGTCGGAGTATACTATCACCGGGCCTTCCTGGCTGCAGAACAGGAGATGAAGCGTATAACCAATGATCGGGAAGATAGCCAGGTTCTCCTATCCGCCGCTCAGAAACTGGCTGCAGATCTGCATGTCCGTGTTGACGAAGGTGAACAAGCAAAGGCTGATCTGGCTAAGGCGGAGGAGAGGGACCGGCGTCGTGATCGAGAAATTAGAGATCTCAGAGCCAAGGTGAGAGTGGCTGAATCCGTTGGGATGCGGTTTGATAAATCAGCGGGAGATAATCCTCCCGAGTCGTATACTACCAACACCTCCAAGATCACCAATCAGGCCTTGATCGAATATCAACGCAGTAAAGGATTGGATATCGCTTTACAGAACACCGCTCGGCAATTTTTGGGACCTCATCTTGGTCAATTCTTGCATGAGAGCGAGGACCCGATCAAGTCGGGGATAGAGCTTCTGGATAGCACGCCCGAAGGGAAATCTTTCTTGGATGTCTTGAAGGAGAAAATTGTGAAGCAAAATCAAGATCTGCTTCTAGATAGGAACCTCGACCTGATCATGGAACGCTTCCCCAAGTCGTTCGATCCTGATGAGTTGGGATTTGATGACCTGTTCGGGAATACCTACGATCGGGTCATGGAGATGAGACAGAAAGCGATCTCTGATGATGCAACACAGGCCGGCAGTACTCAACCTCAATCTTCCCCGAACGGCAATCGTCCAATAGAGTAGTCCATCTTTGTAATTTTATTCTTGTTTTCTTTGTACTTTCCGGCCAGTAATGCCGAAGAATAAAGCTCGATTTTATACATAATCTTTGTCTTTTCAGATGCATCTCTTTTTCTTTCTTTCTTTCTTTCTTTCTTTCTTTCCGGACGCTACTCAGATTCGTCCATACTTATAGTTTTGACATCATCTCCCAGCTGTTTTGAACGAGTCAAATTCTGCTAGCTAAAATGATGGCTCCCTCCAAACTGTTAACACGTTCGTCATTCGGTCATCCGGAATGATTCTACGTGTTAAAAGCTGAGGTGAGACTCTCTCCCTTCCAAACCCATAATTCCGATGCATTCCGAAGAGTTTCCTCGATCCGTATCATCCATATTAGGGGTTTGAGGTGACCACTTTAAACCGTAAGCAAGATCACTAGATCGGGTGATTTCTTACTTAAGCTAAAATGGCGGCTCCCTCCAAACTGTTAACCCGTTTGTCATTCGGTCATCCGAAATGATTCTACGTGTTAACAAGCTGAGATTAGACTTTCTGAAAGCAGTGCCTCCCCGGACGACAATCCATGTTACCGAACGTCGCTCGTTTTGATAATACTTGTTCTGACACCATCTCCAAGCCATTTTGATCTCTTTTTCGCTCGTGATCATAGGGTCAAAATCTTTTAGCTGAGGTGATTTCCTCCAAGCCTTTTTGGTCCCTCTATTCGTTTGTGAGCACAGGGTCAAAAACTGTTAGCTGTAATGATGGCTCCCTCCAAACTGTTAACACGTTCGTCATTCGGTCATCCGGAATGATTCTACGTGTTAAAAGCTGAGGTGAGACTCTCTCCCTTCCAAACCCATAATTCCGATGCATTCCGAAGAGTTTCCTCGACCCGTATCACCCATATTAGGGGTTTGAGATTACCACTTTAAAACTGTAAGCAAGGTCATTAGATCGGGTGATTTCTTACTTAAGCTAAAATGGCGGCTCCCTCCAAACTCCTAACTTGTTCGTCATTCGGTCATCCGGAAAGATTCTACGTGTTAACAAGCTGAGATGAGACTTTCTGAAAGCAGTACCTCCCCAGATGACAATCCATGTTACCGAACGTCGCTCGTTTCGACAATACTTGTTTTGACACCATCTCCAAGCCGTTTTGATCTCTTTTCCGTTCGTGATCACAAAGTCAAAATCTTTTAGCTGAGGTGGCGGCTCCCTCCAAACTGTTAACACGGAAGTCATTTATTCATTTGGAGTGACTATACATGTTAAAAGCTGAGGTGAGACTCTCTGGAAGTTATGTCTCCCTCTAATTAATTTTTTTAAAGAGGTGGCAACAGTCGT